GCTCGTTGAGGCTCACAGTGAAGCTGGTGAAGTTGTACATCTGCGGGAGCAGAGATACCACCTTGTCAGTGCCCAGGCCCCACAATCCCATGGAGCACACCCCACCCATCTCTGCCTATCCCCTGGAGCACATCCCACCCATCTCCGCCCATCTCCTGAGCACTGTCTCCATCTGACTATGCACACAGCACGTGCTGTGGCCCTGACTTCTGCAGCTGGAGGTGTGGCAGCAAGGCTAGCACAGATGTCTTGTTTCTCTGTCAATCTCCCAGACAGAAGGTTGGTGCCACCTGCTCACTGGAAATGCTGCCACCATGTCCTGCAGCTAGCCCCTTGGCTTGGGTTGCTCCCTCTCGCCCAGATGGCCTGCCTTCAGGCTCCCCCTCTCCACCTGGGGGGTGGCAGTCACCCTGTGCCCAGAAAGCCCTGGCTTCATTCTTCAGCCAGACCCTCACTCTGAGTTCAGGCTCATATATCTGTCCACTCAGTTCTGGGATGTTGGAGAGAAATCTGGCACTCCCGATGAACCTGCTGCACCCACAGCCCCACCCTCCCTGTGTCCCTTCCCAGGACCCCAGCCAGGCCTTCTAGCAGTCCTCCTTCTGCCCTCACCCCCACAGCAGCCAGAGGGGCCAAGAGAAAACCTCAACTCCACTGGTCACCCTCTGCTCAGATGGCTTCCACAGCATCCACATCATTCAAAGCAGAAATCAAGGCATATGGCACCCCTGTGCCCTACCCCACCACCACTTGGTCCCCTGAGCCCTGTGGCCCTTACACTCCTCAGTCCACTCCCAGAGGCTCTGCCCTGGCTGTCCCCTGCCCAAAGGCAAGCCCCAACAGCCATCAATCACTCTGCCACTTTCCCATGACTGAAGCCATAGCAGAGTCCCTGTCCTGCCTGATGAGCTTCCCTGGCAACTGGTGAGGCACCATGGAGCTCTCAGCTGTGTCCATGCACACTGGGGCATGGGCATTGGGGGCACTGGGGACACAGGGGACTTGTCTGCCTGGGCCATCTAGTGCCCGGTGGGCAAGGGGAACTCAGCACATCCCACTGAGCCAAAGGATGGAGGGACACATTCTTTTTAAGAGGATCTCCCCCGTAAAAAAAAGCTTTTTTTCTAAAAATTAACTTAAAATGGTGCTGTCACACTAGCTCATATTCTGCTCAAGTGAAAGCTGTGGCGTGTCGAGGTTGTGCTTAGAGGGGACGTCCTGCTGTTCTCTTTCCTCTGTGTCACACACGCTCCTTGTGTTCATAGGACACAATGGGAATTTCATGATCAGCTGCAGATACACTTTATACATAAGTAACATACAATCTCTAAAAGATATTAACCTTGGTTATACTCTATTTACAAGAATATAGCACATATTTTGTATGTTACTTATATATGTAGTAAGAGTTACAACTGCAATCTTCAAAAATAAGTATCACAATGCATTGAAACATCTAAATGAATATGTCAGAACGAGAATCTTCTGCCATGGCTGAGCCCACCTCTGACCTGCAGCCGTGGGCGCAGGCCTTGTGGGGACAAGCCCACGCAGCTGTGGGCGGTGGTATGCACAGACACAGCAGAGCTCTGCATCCACACCTCAATCCCAGACCTCCCGAATGCCACAGCTGGAGGGCACAGGCCTGGATGTGGCTCTAGGAAGGCAGAAGCCTAGTTCCCTGAGGATCCCCTGCCCACCCCCTACCCCCTCTGGGACACACAGAGGCAGCAGGCATGGGCACAGGATTGGGACAGTGGAGGGGTCCACCCAGGAGGTGCAGACACAGCCTGGCAGGGGGCATGGGTGTGCAGGGCCAAACCTGGGCGGAGTTGGGGGGCCGGGTGTTGATCCTCCACAGCAGCTTGCTGCCTGGGACAACCTGCACGGTCTCCTGGGCCTCAGGCACGTCATCAGCCACGTCACTGTTGGCCGGCTCGGTGCTGCTGTCCTGCAACACAGAGTCCCATATAGCTGCAGCTGGCAGCAGCTGGGCCCTGAGCACCTTCCACACCTGCCACAAGCCAAGCATGGTAAAGTGGCCTTTGCCTATTTTCTTTTTTTTTGAGTTGGAGTCTCACTGTCGCCCAGACTGGAGTGCAGTGGCCGCTCCCGGCCACCGCAGCCTTGACCTGCTGGGCTCTGGCGATCCTTCTGCCTCAGCCTTCCAAGTTGCTGGAACTACAGGCGCACGCTACCACGCCCAGCTAATTCTGCCTTTTTTTTTTTAAACTAAGAAAAAAATCAAATTTCCTCCCAGCTTGCAATGCTGTCTGCTCGCTGGTGCATGAAGAAGAGCCAGGCCTGTCCTTGAAGCGGATCACATTCCTCTGTGGGTCTGGGCAGTGCTGGGCTTCGAACGACGCTCAAGGACAGACAGGCAGGAAGCCAGCAGCAGGCAGGCTCCCGGGAAAGGTGACCGCCATGAAAGGACGCCCTGCCACATCTGAGCACAGCATGGGGTGAAGACATCCAGAATAGCACATTCCACCTCACACTGCCCTCTGGAAGGGCACACTTCTGGGACTGGACTGAGAGGCCCCTGCCACACTGTGCTCCTGCCCTCCATGCAGAAGGGTTCAGGTGTAGAGGCTGGGGCAGCTTGGCACCTCCGGACTAAGCAGCCGCTCATCACACCCTAATGAGATGATAATGAGACCAGTGGCTCCTAGAATAATAAGCGGTGGCCTTAGATGCAGCCACCCAGGTAGACCCTGCCATGTGGGACCCTCCTGAACTCAGCAGGGCCATGCTAACATTGGCACAGCCACTTGGTCCAAGGCCAGAAGCTAAGTACAAACATATCCACAAAAACCCTCTCTCCTTTCTAGGTGACCTGAAAGACCAGGAAAGACACGTGAAAGCATTAAGAGACATCACTAAATGGATTTAACATTCTCAGTCTGTACAGTCCTTAAAGGAATTTTACTTTTCCTGTTTAAATACAGGAGAGTGATTAGAAAACATGTCTCACTGCATACATGAAATATCACAATGAAACAGCCACTTAGAATCCTGGAGGAGGTAAAGTACTTTTGTTAAGTAAATATTGAATGTTTCAGGTTTGGTACATTCCAATTTATTATCTAGAAAATATGGCACCTCTTTTGAACTATCACTTTTAGTTTTAAGCTCAAGAATAACTAGTCTTAAGACAATCAGCATTTAGCAGCTCTAGGGGAAAAATCCTTGCCAATACCTTCTGTCTGTTGAATATATTACCTTGTACTCAGAACTAAAAAAACAAAAATGAAATTCACTTGACTTTTAAATACATCTAGGCCACCTCAGATGAAAGAAGAGAGATTTACCAAGAAGGACCTAGAACTTGGAGCTTCCAGAAAAGAAATGGCCTAGAGACTAAGAGGCAGGGACACCCCGAGTCCACAGTTCATAGCAGCTGCCTCCACACAGCAAAAACAGAGACACCCCTTCAGCCCAGCACCAAAACCCACAGGTGAGCAGTTTCCTCTGGGTGCATGGTTGCCTCTCCCAGCTGGGCATGAGCACTCCCTGGGCTCCCCGTGCCCCTGTCCCACACCAGCATGAGACAAGGTGGCCCCTCACCAGCATCCCCTTCCTTGGGTGATGGCCTCTCCCAGCTGGGCACAAAGGCTCCCTGGCTCCCTGCTCCCTCGCCCCCTTCCCTCCCCCACACCCAGGCATCAGCTGAGGTGGTGCCTCACCTGTGTTGCCTTCCTCGGGTGATGGCCTCTCCGCTCCTGCTTCTTGAAGGCTTCGTAGGATACAGGGTCTATACCCCACAGACACTCCGTCCACTTGCCATAGATTATAAAGAGCTTCTTTTTGCTGTGATCAAATGGGATTTTTAGAAACAAGCTGAGAGCAATGACCAACCGCTCACCTAACACACAGCATGTCATTCTGGCTGTGGAAGGACCCCTCTGACACATCTCCATGTTCATGTCGAGATCACTTTGGATGCAATCTGTATTCTAGGATGAATACTCATGCCATTAGCAAGTGCTGTTCCCAGCTTGAGACACCAGGGGAGGCACAAAGGAACAAACCCAGAGGGCTGCCCCACAGGGATTCGGGGACAAGTAAGGGCAACAGAGCTTACAAACAGATTTTTAAATCAAAGATGCGCAGGCCCACTTACTATCACTGCTCAGGTACACGGGTGTGTATCCCAAGCTGCACGGGCCCACTCACTAAGTACACGTGTGTGTATTCTAAGCCGCACGGGCCCACTTACTATCACTACCTAAGTACACACTTGTGTATTCTAAGATGTGCAGGCCCACTTACTAGCACTACTTAAGTACACAGGTATGTATTCTAAGCTGCGTGGGCCCACTTACTAGCACTGCTTAGGTATACTGGCTGTTTTGGGGCTGGGGTCCTGCAGGCTCTAGATTCCCATCGCTAACCCCTCCCATCCCGGCTAATGCTCCTGCCTCTCCATGGTCTCTGGCTGCTTGTCCTCTTGACAGCATCCCTGAGGTCTGCAGATCAGCCACTGCTGCTCTGTCTGATTTCCCAGGAACAGACACCTCATGGCACTGGACGGCTTTCTTTTCTGCCTCTCCCTATATGGAGTAAGCCATGGCCTAGAATCGCTGCCCTGACAAGGTCTGACACCACAGTTGTCTGCAGAGCCCATGGGACCTGAGAATTGGCCAGGTCTCACCCAGCAGGCAGTCCAGGGCCAGCTCTCCAAGTGCGCTGGAATTTAATATGTTTTTAAAAATAGATATTTTCTTTCTCTTTAGAAATAGAGATGGGGTCTCACTATGTGACCCAGGCTGGTCTCAAACTCCTGGACTCAAGTGACACTCCTGCCTCAGCCTCCCAAAGTAATGCAATTACAGGCTCGAGCCACTGTCCTGGCCAGCACTTGAATTTAGGATAGAAAACTAGAAAACCAAAACATGCTTTCCATGTGCTCACTGAGGCTCTGTTAGCTGGCCCCGGCTCCCTGCCCAGTTCTGTACATGGATAGGCACAGTCTCTCCCTGGGCAGATCCTACAGCAGGAGGCTACCCAGGTATCAGGCTGTGCTACTCCATCCAGCACTGCTGCCCTCCAAGCCCACACGCAGGTCCTCACTGTCTCACAGGAGCAGTGGTCGGGCTTAGCCTGACAGCATCTTATAGGCTGTTTGAACAGGTGAGTTCCTGGTGCCCAAGAGAAGGTAGATGGAGCAAAAGCATCATTGTTTTAAACTGGAGACTCATTTCTAATAAAAGTGAAACACAGACTTCAGGAGCAGGAAGGGAGCTCCTGACATCACAGAACTGACATTCTTCCTGAAAAATATATAGAGAACTTTGAGACCCAGACAAAAAGCAATTCACCCAAAAGGGGAGAAAAAACCCCCAAAGTCGGCTGAAACAGCAGTGACCATTTCTCTGCTCACAAAGCCATGTGGACATCCCTGACTAAAGGAGACACACGAGTCTGTCTCCAATGCTGCTGTTCCCACAAGCAGGGCCTGAGCTGTGCCAACTGTGCCAGGAATGCCTCAAGGAAAGAAACCCGTGGCCAGACCTTAAAGCCTCAGTCTGTTTGTAAAACTGCAGTATTGTTGCTTGGTGAAAATATCTCATTTCTCATGTCAATTTAATCAAAAAAGATAGACCTAATCACCCCCTGCCCATAAATTATACTCAAAACATATACTTACTTCCTTTTATGCTCAATCATGAAATGTCTTAAGAAAAGAGCCATAGTTTTTCTGCCATGAATGGATGCCAGACACCACTGGCATAGCCATGTCTCCCATGCTTGCCCATGTGTGCCTGTGAACCAACCTGGCACAAACCTACCTTTTGTCCTGAATGTGCCCTTCCACTTTGTGAAGCTCTTTTCCAAACAATCCGCACGGCTTGAAGTTAAGCACACACTTATGTCCGGTTCTGTGGGAAAAACAAACACAGGCCTCTGCTGCTGACATGCAATGTTCCCAAAGGGCAGATCTGCCAAGGGAGAAGCAGGTTGCAGGCCCAGGTCAAGGTGGTGCAGAGGTGACACAACAGGCGCAGCAGCCTGGTGGGTGACTGGAATGTTCCCAGCTGGCTCAGGGGAATGGCTGTACAACTTGGCAAATTTACTAGAAATCTTTAAGCATTCACTTAAAATGGCAAACATTATGGCCCATCAGCTCTCTCACTAAAACTGTTAAAAGGCAAAGCTGATCACCACAAACTCTGGAATGAGGCATGACGGTCTGACAGTGGACACCACATGAGGACAGCCACCACATTGCCACCTGGCAATGACACCACTCTTTAGTGTTGTAGAAAGTCTCAAAACAAGTGATGATTGTGACTAAACACAGTAAGCGAGGCACACGGGAGACTTCAACCCTGGCCAAGGTGGGTCCAGACAGCCCTGAGTGAAAGGGTGGGAGGGACAGGGTGGAGGCATGGGGGCTGGTGGGCAGGGAGGCCCCACCAGAGACAGCTCGAGCCCAGCGGAGTTCCCAGAGGAGTTCCTGGTCAGAGTCAGCCACCCCGCACATCACCTGTGGTTCAGGATCTCCACGGCACCATACTGCTCTATCCACAGCTTCCCAAGGATGACATTGTGCACACAGCATGTAGGGTTGGTCCAGGTGTAGGCCTCGTTATGCCTGTGGAAACGCAAGACACAGGAGGGTCAGGGGCCTGTGAGGAGACACTGTGCGAACACACCACAAAGACCCGGCCCGCCCACTATGCCACCAGGAGCCTGGAGGAGGGGACGTCCTTTGAAGTCCTGGCAGTGGACGCTGTTTGTTTAGCATTTGTTTGAAACGCACATCTTCTTTCCTTTGTAGCATCAACAAAGCTTTCTACTTAAATGTCAAGACAAGTAATAAGCAATAAAAGACAACTGAGATAGAGAAATGGCTTTCTTGTGAAGTCCTCAAAAGAAAACCACTTCACCCCATGCATGCATGAGGTGGTATTGCACACCCTAGCCACATCGGGCCCACACATGCGGGGACAGGGTACCAGCAGTGGGCTACAGTTCTATGACACTCAACCACCCAACAGCCCTGCCCTGGAGAGAAACCCCACAAACATGAGAGGCAGCAGGAACCATCCCCACATCTTGTGGGGGCTACATTCAGGAGCCATCGCCAAGGGCAAAATCTGCTCAGAGGAGGATCTCCCACAACACAGGAGGAATTCCACTAGCGCCCTAGAAAGTTGTCAGCATGTCTTTGATTCTGTATACCTCACCCAAGAAAGTAAAGGCCACTGTGAGGCAAAGACAGGCATGGCTACCAGACACCTGCCAACAGGCTGTCCACAAGGGCCCAGGACCCACACCAACCCTGACACACAACCCTGGGGCCTCCTTTGGTCCTGGTGGCACCTTCTGCAACCAGCCAGGCAGGGCCAACAGAAAGCAACATCACTCCAAAGACTCCATCACAACAGGCTGCAGTTTTGCAAGACTCACTCCACACCGGTTGCCAAGGAGGCAGCAAGCACCCATCTCTGTGTCCACAATGGGGCTCAATGCCCAGGCATTTGTTGGAGACTTTTTTGCTTTAGGGTGCATTTGATGGACACTGGACTGAACAGCATTTAGACTGAGACTGACAGACTCTAAGGCGGCCCCTCCACCACCCCTCACACTCTGCCAGGCTGTGCGATCAGCGATGCTCAGGTCAGGGTGGGAGTACTTTTTCCTGGTGTCCCCAGCTACCTACTCCCTCTGTGGGATGCCAGCTGCCATGCTGTGCATGCCCTGGGGGACCTGCCAGCAGCCACACAGGTGAGACTGGAAGCAAGTGCCATGGTCACTCCAGGTTCACAGGCAGCCCAGCCATACCCCACCAGCCTCAGGGGCAGCCCGGCCACAGCCCACCAGCCTCAGGGCTGCTAAGTTATTATGTCTGCTATGTCTGGGGGTATTCAGCAGCAAGAGACACGACTGGAGCAAGTGACTTAAAAGGATGTGGAGCCCAATAGTCATAGAGGTGAGAGGAATTTCCCAGAACACCTGGCACTGGTGAGAAAGCTCATCCTAGGTGACGAACATCAGGACTGCCTCATCAGGAAGAGGGCCCACCTTCCCCAGGAGGAGGAGGAAATGGGCCCCTCCTGAGCTCCCAGCCCGGCCTGCACTCACGTGAGCAGCTCCAGCGTGATGGTCCCACGCGGCTCAGCTTCTACACTCTTCCCCCAGAACTTCAGCTTTGGGTAGATGGAGCCATGGAACAGGAAGTCCTGGCTGAGGCCTTCAGAGTAAAATGCACTGATGGGCGGGTGGTGGCTGACCTGCTCAGATATGAATCTGAATCCTAAGTCCTCCCTAGGTCCAGCAAGGGAGGGCAGAGAGAGGGTCATGTTAATGAGGGTAGCACACAAGAAAGGCCAGTGCACACATCATTTCCACAGCACCCTGCGTGTGGCCTACAACCAGAGGACCACGGCTCACCCAGCCCTGGCCCAGGCTACCCAGCACTGGCTTCTTGGTGTAACACAGGACCGGAGGCTGACAACACACTCACACGCCACCTGCAGAGCTCACGCAGGCAGGCAGCAGAGTGGAGAGGCTGCTACCCCACCCCTGCCACTCCAAGGGACTGTCCCAGCCACATGGGCACCATGCTGGAGGAGCCAGGCTGGGAGTCGAAAAGCATCTCACAGACCCAACCCCGATTCTCATCTAATCCCTGAGGGACTCCCAGCATCACACCCCTGGGACCGAGATCTCTCTGAAGAGGGTGCCTCTGCCCTGCCTTCTCACAAGGCTCTGAGGCTTCTGGCATGGGATATATTACAGCCCAAAATATTCTTGGCCAGGAAACAGGATTTTTAGTACACTCTCCTTTTCAACAAAAATGTCAGTTTTTAATTGTTCCGGAACTGTGAATACACCTACAGTTGCAGTCATTAAAAATTACAAAAGCTAAACCACATAATTACTAACTTAACTGGAATCAGAATTTCCAATCATTTCAGAGGAAGGAAAGCTGAAAAAATTAGATTCTAAAAGGTTGCCTACCAAGGCATGTAATTTATCAAGTGAATACTTGTCTAAGAACAGAAAATGTATTTTTAGCCATCAGAGGAATCCGGGATGAGGCTGTTGGTAAGTGACTTGTTTTACATATGGCTCTTGCCCAGAGGGATGTCTGGCCCTCAGACACGGACACACACGGTCTGGAAGGAAGCGTGAGGAATGCCACATACTGGAGTGGAGAGTCTCATTTCTCCTCTCTGTGAAACTCTAGTTCCACCTGAGATGCCCAATAATCCGCACGGCAGGCTGCACTCCAGCCTCAGGCTGCTCAGACGCTTATCAACCAAACTGCATCGCTTCTATCATCTAGAACTTCTTTCTTGTTCTCATTAATCTCTCTCAAGATATTCTAATAATTATCTAAAGCCGGGTGCAGTGGCTGATGCCTACAGGAGGCTGAGGCAGGATCGCCTGAGCCCAGGAGGTCGAGGCTATTGTGAGCTGTGATAGTGCCACTGCACTTTAGCCTGGGTGACACAGTGAGACGCCAACTCAGAAATAATAATGATGATAATTTTCTAAAGGCAGCGCCTCGGATATGGGCACTCCAGCATGTGAGCTGCAGGAAGGAAGGGCAGTGGCGGTAGCCAAGGGGCTGCTGCTCATGGGAAAGAGCTAGAGAGGAAAACACGCCACATGAACTCCAAAACAGCCTCCCTCAGGAGCACTGCTCGGAGTAAGGCTTTCCTTGTCCAGGCCTCAGTTTCCCTATTCCTGAGTTGCAAGGGCAGGGTTGGCCCTGCAACCCCTCCTCCTGGGACATGCCATGCCCAGGGCCACCTGCTGAAGCCCTCTGCCATCGTGTCATGCTCTCTGCTGGTAAGTCCCACTCTCTCAGAGGAAATATGATGTGGCGGGCAGGCGCTCAGCCACATGGGGCCCCAACTCCTAAATCAACAGAACTCAGATGCCATTCCCACCTGTGGTCCTGGGGAAGGGCTGGCCACTGACCACCCAGGACAAGACTCAGGTTGACTCACAGGGAGAAGTGCAGGTAGACCCCCCCAACCTCTACTCCCCACTTGGGGTGACTCACAGGGGGAAGTGCAGCATAGTCCCCGTCAACCTCTACCCCCCACTTGGGGTGACTCAGAGGAAAAAGTGCAGTTTGACCCCTCTCAACCTCTACTCCCCACTTGGGGTGACTCACGGGGGAAGTGCAGCTCAACCCTTCAACCTGCAGCTCAACCCCCCCAACCTCTACCCCCCACTTGGGGTGACTCATGGGGGCAAGTGCAGCTCAACCCCCAAACCTGCAGCTCAACTTCCTCAACCTCTACCCTCTACTTGGGGTGACTCACAGGGGAAGTGCAGCTCAACCCCACCAACCTGTACTCCCCACCTGGGGTGACTCATGGGGGGAAGTGCAGCTTGATACCCCCCAACCTCTACCCTCACTCAGGGTGACTCACAGGAGGAAGTGCAGCTCAACCCTCTCCAAACTCTGCCACTCAGGGTGACTCATGGGGGGAAGTGCAGCTTGACCTGCAACCCCCCCACAACCTCTACACACCACTGAGGAAAATCTCTGTCCTTAATAATATAAAATACAATCAAGGGCCTAAATGCAGTGACCTCAAGTTTCAAAGAAACTGTACTTCTTTGACTGTAAGATGCCATCAATTGCACAACACAATTAATTTTATTTTAAGCAAAAAAGAGAAAATGCACATGAAACTAGACATGTAGAAATGCTGCAACCTGGAAAGTGTGTCTTAGAATCGATGAGGCAGGTGATTTAAGACTTCTGTAATGTCTCAGATGATCACGGCATGACATAAATGGTAATAGGTGCACAAGGGTGTCAGCACATCATAACACACTCACAACAGGAACTCAGCAAAGCGCTGGCAGCTGCTGTCTTACAGGGTTGTGTCTGACTGTCTTGTCTACGTTTCTCAATGTTACATGTTCTCCATAGAAAGCATGCTCTTGTAATTTAAAAAAAGACTTTATTTTAATAAAACACCCGACAGAATCTCAACTAGCCAGAATCCAGATAGAAGCCAACACTTTAGGTTGGACTCCCCTTTCCTAGAGACAGGCCATCAGGCAAGATGGCATTGGAGTCCCTCCCTCGCCGGTGTTTGTGATGCTGGGCAGCAGTAACCACTCCCGAATGCGGGGAAGAGCCCTGCGGGGAAGGGGCACTCTGCCAAGTTGCAACTGCAAGAAATGGGGCAGCTCAGAATGCAACCCCTCTCACTTGCAGAGCCACAACACCGCTCTCTGCTTGTGGGATGAGGATGCTCCACACACACTGCCCATGTCTACCCAGGCACCTACACAGCCTCCAGAGAAGGACCAGACCAAGGGAGGCGGGCTGAAACTACCGGGACAGCACCCGCGCTGGCAAGAGTCATGTACATTTGTTTCTCATTGGTAGGTTCTGGAGCTGCTGCCAGGCCACCTTGATGAGGGCAACACAGCACTTCGGTCTGCGTGAATGCTCCTTACTTGGGGGGTGGGGTCGCTGTCCCCGGGCACAATTCTCCAGGGCAATTCTCAGAACTGCAACAGCTCCAGGGAGTGAGGGGGTGGAGAGAACCCCAGGCAGGCTGGCCCTCCTGGAGGCCCAGCCACCACCCAGGCCAGTCTCAGGTGTATGTGCTGGGCACTGGGATGGATGGAAGCTGGGGAACTCCAGGAAAGGGGGTGATGCCACCTAGAAGAAACTCCACAGGAAGGAACTGTGGGTCACAGAGCAGCAGTGTGGTCACCTCTCCTCATCCAGGCCAGCCTTCCCCAATTCCCACCAAAGGCTGCGGTGGCAAACGGTCCCACGGGATGCACCCTGCAGCCACGCTGCTCTGTGTTCACCTGCTCTTTCAGCAGCAGCCACTGAACAGCTCAGGGCAAGGGCCTAATGCTGGTCATCAGCACTCATCTCCACCTGAGCTGGAAGCGAACAATCCCCAAGTTTCAAATGCATCACTCTACCATGTGTCTATGTCTATACACCGAGCACAATCCCACAAATTCACACCCATCACACATACGTGCAAGTGTGTCCATGTCTAAAACCACGTACAATCCACAACTTCATACACATCACACACATACAAGTGTGCCGATGTCTATACACCATGTACAATCCTGCACACTTCACATATGTCACACATACATATGAGCATGTCCATGTCTATACACCGCGTACAATCCCACAATTTCATACTCATCCCACACACGTGTGAGCATATTTATGTCTACACACCAGGTACAAAATCGCAACTTCATACACATCACACACGTATGAGCATGTCCATGTCTCCATCCTTGAATGAGTAAGTGATCACATTCTATTTTCACCTCTGCTTGACACCACTAGGCCTCTCACAGTGCTGACTGCCTCTCTACATGTGATGCGTGTCCTGGCTGTCGCATTCCTTATTTAGCCCACACTTAATTCACACGGCATATTCTCAGAGCAGAGGCCTTAGTGGTGGTGAGAGAACCATGCTCGTCTGTCACCTGAGGTGCTCCACTCATGCCTTCCTCTTACCTGACCAGCTCGTACGTCTCTCCCAGGAGGGGGTTGAATGGCTTGCCAGTCCGCTCCCACTGCGAGGCCACGGCCGACACGGCAAAAGCAGCTACAGACTGTAACCAACACAGATGGGTAAGAACAATCCATCAGGAAGAGCCAGAGGTTCAGGGCGCCAAGGCGCTGGACTTCTGCATCGTCATCCTGTGGCAACTGTTCCATTCCCCACCAGTAACAGACGTGATTATGTAACTTTCAGGAAGCACCCTGTATCACTGCCACTTCCCCAAAGCCACAGACAGGAGTACAGACGCTGCATTCCTGGCCTGGTCCTTCCTTGCAGAGATTGTAGCAACGTCAACCTGCCACACACACATGTGCACACACACATGTGCACACACATTTGCACTCACACGCATGCTTGTGCACAAACACACACACACCCTGAGCACATACTTGCACATCACATGCCCACACGTTTACAGATTCCTGTACACACAACATGCATGCACACACACGCGCATACAGGCAGTGGTGCCACAGGATCCTGAGGACAGAGCCTGCCATCCTGTTGCTCCAGAGGCCGAGACTCCTGGCAGGAGGTAGCAGCAGGGAGCTCTCAGGGATGCCAGGAGCTTCATGGCACTGCCAGCAAGTTCCATAGTCACACAGCCAAGGAGACACGCTTGGGGATGATCGCTGCGGCTGCTGGGCTGAACGGCACCGCATGCCAGGTGAGCCCTGTGGGCCCCTCCCAGGTGTCTTGACCTCCTGTGAGATGTGTGGGTCCCATGCCTGGCAGTAGGCCTTCCCACCAGACACTGGTTGTCCTGGGCCCACCTGCATCCTCTCCAGAGGCTGGGGTTGGCGGCAGGCCCTGCGGATGAGGTACACATGCTCCATGTACTCCGTAATGCGCTGCAGGAAGCTCAGGGGCTCGTTGAAGGCAATGGGCATGGTGATCTTAGACAGCTCCTAGAAGGACCCGAGGAGACACACTCTCACCGCAAGGCCCCTCAGGCTGCCCCACCCCTGCTCCCAGAAGCCCCTGGAGCCGTCACCCGGCGCCTCCTTGCCCAGTAGCTTCGGCTGCCTTGGCCCCACCGGCCCCCACTAGAGGATGCAGAGACCTGAAGATGCCTCCCTGCACCACACTCCCCAGCCTGCTCCCTCCCCCCGACACACCCTGTCCATCTTCCCTGACACCTCGCTCCTCCACTTCCCTTCCAAGCAGAGCCCTGCCAGTCTCTGCTTCCCATCGGCCCCAGGGACAGGAGCACACCTAACCAGCACATGACTGTACACACTCAGTCCACGCAGCTCTGCCCAAAGGCAACCTGCAGCTGGCAGAGCATTCCAGGTGTCTCCTGGCATAGAGAGAGTGGCTCAGCAAGTTAAGTCAGGAAGGTGCCAAGGGGACAAGTGCCTACATGAGGCCAACTCGCTGCTGGGCTTCTAGGAAAGCTCCGGGAGTAGTTCTGGGGGAAGGGCAGGAAGACCAGGATAGGCTCCTCGGAGAAGCAGAGACAGAGGTGGGAGGAGGGGAGGGGAGGACTGAAAAGAGGATGAGAGGAGAGGAGGGGAGGACCAAAAGGAGGATGAGAAGAGAGGAGGAGGGCAGGTGAGGACTGAAAGGAAGATGGGAGAAGGGAGGAAGGGAGGATCAAAAGGGGGATGGGAGGAGAGGAGGGGGGAAGGAAGGACCAAAGGGAAGAGAGGAGGAGAGGAGGAGGGGAATAGAGGACAGAAAGAAGGATGGGAAAAGGGGGGGAGGGAGGACCAAAGGGAGAAGGGAAAGAGGATGGGGGAAGGAAGGACTGAAAGGAGGACGGGAGAAGGGAGGAGGGAGGACTGAAGGGAGGACTAAAAGGAGGACAGGAGAAGAAGGGGGGAAGGGAGGAATGAAAGGAGGACGTGAGAGGAGGGGAAGGAAGGACACCTGCCAGTGGGGACACAAAATGGCACAGCTCCAGGGGGGGATGGGGCTGTGTCCAGCAAAGTTCCACACACATCCAACCCTGGACCCAGCGGTCATACTGCCTGGTACCCGCCCCAGAGCCCCGACCAGACACATATGCGGGTGCACGCTGCAGCGCTGCCTAGATCAGCAAGGGACCAGGAGGAATGGCATCCAGCCACAGGCCCTGGTTCAGTGACCATGGGGCAACCCTGGGAGGGTGCAAAAGCAGTCAGAGCGGGAAGCAGTGGCATCGGGTAAAAACCAGAGGCGGAGAAAGGCTGTCGCTCAGCTAGAGAGGTGGGAGGACACACACTGCCACCCGCATGGCCAGTGGGGAAACACTGTGAAATGCTCACGCTCCCCCAGGGGAAGACAGAGGATGGGAGGGACAAGCAGGAAGCTGCACTTCTAGGAAAAGACCTTGTTTGCTGAAGGTGATTCAGGATCTGCAATTTTAAAACAAACTCAAACTTTCAAAAGCAATCTCAAAACATTAAAAAGGGAACATATTAAACCTGTATGACTCCCTTGGTGGGATAACCATCTGGGGAGAACAGCCCCGGACCATGCTGAAACACAGGCCTTTGGGTACCTCCGAGGACAAGCACTGCCCAAGCCAGCAGGTTACAGTGGCCCCACGAGCACAGTGGTGGTGGTATAGGCCAGGCTTGCGTGGCCTAGGCAGTGAGCCTGACCACATGCTGGTCTGGGTCCACCCACTCCCATGCTGCCGAGAACCGAGCTGTTGGTGGGGAGATGAGGGACATGGACAAGAGTCAGGTGGGGCTGGTGGCTGTCTAACCGAATTGGAAGCATCACCGAAACAAACAGCACCCCAGCTCCTAGCTGTGGGGCAGACCAAGAAACAAGACTGCTCAGCGGCCCCCAGAGCCCCGGGTTGTCTTGCAGTCTCCTCCTCGCCCTGGAGAAGAAGCTAGTTCCAGATCCTGGACAAGACATGTATGGCTGAATTCAAAGCCTCTTTCTCGAAGGGTTACAAGCCCCCTTGGAAAGGCTCCCACCCATCAAAGGTGGGACAGCTTGTGGACTGGAAGAAATAGGATAAGTAAACTCCACAGTCAAAAAAGAGAAAAGACAAACACTGGTCATACTGGCACTCCAGAGAACCAGCGTCCTGCCTGAAACTGAGCTCCAGAGGACGAGCCTGACTCTCCCACACCAACTGCATCCGGCAAAGGAAGGGAACTTCTCCCGATAGGAACTCCAGGTGATAAACACAGAGTGACAGTGTCGGCCTGTCTCCAACCTGCATTCCTCATGAATTAATGGATCCAGGCATTGGGCACTCATGGCTTTTAAACTCAGAGAAAGCAACAAAAAGGTCTCCTGACAGAAGGACCCAACAAGTCCATACAAGGTGCAAACACACCAGAAAAGGGCATCAAGACCACAGAGAGCCTGAACACAGACTGAATACTTGATGATACCAAAGAATGATGTGATTTTTAATACCAGAATAGTAATATTGTGTTTAGGCCGGGCTTGGTGGCTCAGCCTGCAATCCCAGCACTTTGGGAGGACAAGGTGAGTAGACTGCCTGAGCCCACGGGTTCAAGACCAGCCCAGGCAACTTAGCAAGACCTTGTCTCTACAATCAGTGAAAAATTAGCCCAGCACGGTAGCGTGCGCCTATAGTTCTGGCCACTTGGAGGGCTGAGACGGAAGAATCACCAGAGGCTAGCAGGTCGACGCTAGGGTGGCCGTGAGCGTGCTACTGCACTCCAGCCTGGGCAACAGAGTGAGATTCCAACTCAAAATAATAATAATAGCCAGGCTTGGTGGCTCAGCCTGTAATCCCGCACCTTTGGGAGGCTGAGGTGAGTGGAT